TTAACTTATTGATGGAATAACAATTTGATGGCATTATTGAGAGGTGGTGGAAACTTTCAGAGATGGAGTCTAGTTGGAGGAAGTAGGTCATTGGGGGCATCCCCTTGAGGGTTATATCTGGCCTCCAGCCCATTCCTCACTCTCTCTGCTTCCTGGCTGCCATGAGGTGAGCAGCTCTACTCTACTATGCCTTCTACTACACCCTCCCTGTCATGATGTTCTGCCTTGCTTCAGGCCTAAAGTAATAAAATCTACCATGGACTAAAATCTCTGATACTGTGAGACAAAATAAATCTCACCTTTTAAGTTATTTTCTCATGTATTTTTGTCACAGTGACAGACAGGTGACTTAGAATGGTGGATAAATGGGATGGGAAAGGAAGGGTTTAGAGAAATGGGTACAAAGACTTTGTGAGGAGAAATAATGAATTTTTATTACCATACTGTGTTAGTCAGTTTGGCTGCTATAAGAGAAGGCCATAGATTGGATGTCTTAAACAACAGAAATTTATTTCTCATAGTTCTAGAGAATGGAAGTCCAAGATTAGGGTGCCATTGTGGGCAAGTTTTGTTTAGGGTCCTTTTCCTGGTTTGTAGCTAGTGGTCTTCCTTACTTTGCAGATACAGAAGCAAGCTTTCTCATGCCTCTTTTTATAAGGACACTTGTAAGAAGGTTCTTCACTCATGGCCTAATTACCTCCCCAGAGTCCCATTTCCCAATACTATCATCACACTAGGGGTTGGAGTTTCACTATATGAAGTTGGTGAGACACAAGCATGCAGCCCATAACACATGCCAAGTCCTTTATTAGTGCACCAGGAAGCAATCTAGAGATGAGGAAAACAAATCTAGAGATTTCAACAGGTAGAAAGCTGGGAGGAGAGTACTCGTGGAATGGGAGGCATGTCAGATGCTGCCTTCACCTTTAAAGATGAAGGAGAGGAACATTCTCTGTGTGTCCTCTGCTCAGGGCCATGACTGAAATACTGCTCTCTGGTTCAGAGCTGAGAAGGTCCATTTACTTATGTTCACTCTAATTTACAAAAGGGATTGAGGGAGCCCAGATGAGAGCATTACTCCCAAGGGTATGACTCCCAAGGTAAGCATCTTCTATTGTATTCAGGTCACATGTACCCAGGACTAAATGAAAACATCTTTGCCTTTCCATAGGAATGTCTGTACCCTATATTCTGTATTATATGTTGAACTACAGCTAAAGTGTAGTCTTCAGATAATGAATACTAATCTTTGCTTGAAGAAGAGTTATCACACCTTTTCATCATAAATTTGGTGTTTTTATTGTCACAGATATCTTTAATGACATTCTATAGCTTTAACTCATGTGGTTGTCTGTGGTGATTTATGATTTTATTCCAAAGCTATTTTTTGTTTCCCATTCCCCAGCAGCCAGTCTGGTCCTTCCAAGGTTCATCTGTCTCTTGCTGTGCCTGGAAGATCCCAAGGCTCTTTACTTTTCTCCTGTGAATAATGTGATGTCCCTCCTCTTTCTGGAGAGCAGAGGGTTAGTGAAGTCTTTTGGGGGAGATTCAGGTTTAATTGTACTCCTTATTACATCCCCCCCAACACACAGGGTTTTTGGGGATATCAAAGGGGACTTGTGAACTCCTTGGAGCTTATCCCAGGATTCTCATTTAAGATGCTTTAATTTAAATAGATATGAATAAATATCTTTAGTTTTGTTTCGTATACTATATTAGATAGTGCCTATGCTTTCTTCAAACTCCCCCTCTCATAACCTTTATAATCTTTGTTACTGAAAATCTGTTACCAGCTTCTCATTGCTCTTGATGGTGCTGCCTGTGGGGCAAGGTAGCTCAGGTGGTTTGGGTGGCCCAGGAGTAGGAGGCAGGTTGCCACCACTCACAGTGATCACCATTGATGTTTCCTGATGTGTTTGCAAACATAGAAGACTTGACCAAAGCTCTGGTGCCAATAGTGTGGCTACATGGCATAAATCTTCAAGAGAAGATGGATGGGGAGCTGATGGCCTCCAGCTGCAGCAGGTCAGGATCCTCCATAGTGTTCTAGTGCCAACCATTCCCCAGAGAGCCCCAGCATGGTGGAACGCCAGCCTGGCCACTACCACCAATGTGGGACTCCTCTCTGGGCTGACTCTGCACACTGTTGGGCTGGCTGAGATGCTACCCCCACCCCTGCCCATCCCCGTCTTAGGCTCTTCCTATCCTCTCTCTCCCAGGTGTCATATCTGAAGGCTTTCCCTACTTCCTCCTGATGCCTCTCACCTTGATCTCCTTCTCTTGCCCAGATGTTCTTCACCTTGTCCTGCCCGAGTGCATTTTGTGTACTTCTAAGTATGCCTTGCTGTCTGGTTCTTGGAAGCCTGACATGACACAGCTCTACTCACAGGTGATGTTATTGGTTACATCACACAATTCCATCTCATCTTTTCAGATCTCAGCCTGGAAACACTTCCCAGATCCTGCCCACTTGTGTCATCACAGAGCTGGAGTTTACTGGATGTTGGGTTCCATCCTTCTAGCTGTGCAAGTAATTAGAGTTCCTAGCACCATCCCATTTAGTCCCCTAGAGAAGTTCTCTGATCCTAGAGAAGAGACAAAGGCATGAGACAGTCAAAACCATACTTTATTTCTGAATAGGATTCTGTTAAGAATTCTGGAAAACATTGAAATCTCAGGAATGGCCCTTCTCCTCTGAAATTCTTCTTCCCTAAAATCAGGCCAACAAGGCTAGCTCCTGAGTCCCCTTTCCCCAGGATTCCACTCAATTCTTTGTCTTAAGGAAGATAAGGACTCTTACTCTCTAGTTCCTCCCATAAAGGTCCCCTCCTCACCCCTTAGTTACTGTGAATACATGAAATACATCAGAGCTCCTCCCTGAGAAAAAGTGATGATGGGAAGGAGATCAGCACAATACAAATACACACTGACAGACACTAGATCCCACAGTTCAGAAGTAACATAACCAAGACGGCCCCATGATGTCTCCTATTCTATTACTACTGGACAGTACATCAAGAAAACACCCTTAGGAGATAACACAGGGTTACACATTTGTATAATAAGAATGAGACCCATGCACAGTGCAAATCATGGTGTTCCTTACACATAGGAGCGCATATTTCTGTAAGTTAAAAGGGTGTTGGAGAGTGGGGTGGTGGAAGACTTGTTGGTGCTCTTTGAGGGATGTTTTGCCGTATTCAAAACTTCCCAGGACCAGCCTATATTCCCTCGTATTATGCACAGGATGATACTGTTCAGCCACATCCCTTTAAGCAACCCGGGCTGACTGGTAACTAACTCCCTTTGGAATTATCTCAGGGAACTGTCATTGCAAAGGCTCTCTGAAGGCCCCAGCCTTTTGTTTGATTACCCATGTTGAGTATTTTCTTTTTTTAATTCTATGAAGAATCTGCTTCTCATTTGCCTCCAGGCCTGTTGGGCAGCTGGGCCTTATGAGACCTGGTGAGTTAGGAATGGCAGGCATGGTGAGCTCCTCTGGAGTGGAGGGAGCCATGTGTCTCCAGTTCAGGGCAAAATTCAGAGCAGGTGTTCAATAAATCCTGTTGAGTTAAACTCTAACCTTCTTTTCTGTCGGTGGAATGTTCCCAAGTTGTGATGGTTCTTAGGTGCTTCCCATAATCATAGCATTGGCAAGATTCTCTATTGGAAGTGTGACTAATTCTTTGGGCACTGACAGGTTTCCCTTAAATTTTGTTTTCCATAGACCTTCACTGAGCTGGCTTACTTAGTTTAGTATTCTCCATGCTTCTTTGCAGGATATGGCTCTCAGGTTTTTCTGGCTTATACTATTGCTACACACCTTTTTCCAGGTGTGCTGATGCTCTTATAGGGATAAAGTCAGAATGGGTGGCAGAGATTGTAAGCCCTGTTGGTGGCATTGTTCTCCCCTTAATACTATGGATATGGTCCATGTGCATCCATTATTCAAACCATAAAGATGTTGCATGAAGCTTCTGCTTTCAGTCACATCTGGACAAGGAACACATCTGGGAGACAGAAAGAAACTGGGTGCTCACCGCCATTCTACCCTTTATAGACAGGAGACCAGCAAAGCTTTATAGACAGGAGGGGAAGATTCAGAGTCTGAAGAGAAGATACAAGGGGTCTCTTCCCAGAAGTGCAGCTACAAGTATTGGCTTCTTCACTCCATTGTCACCTGAGAACATGCTTCATGCTACAGAGAAGTTAAGAATCTGGGTTAGGACTTCTGTCCAAAGATACTGAAAGGTCAGGGCAGGAAGTTCACATGCTTGTCTTCCCTAATGGTGTTCTCAGCTTTGGATTTCAGCCTGTTAAAGCCTACTTGAGAGCTATAGGTTTAAGTATGAAGTCCTCTGCTCTGGCAAAGGCTTAAGAGAAACAGTGTGCTGAGGGTTTTAGGATAAACAGGAAAATGTTTGAGATGGATATTTACATGTGTCCTTCTCCAGGAGCTGGGCATCACTGCTCCTGTTCTTTCTGAGACTGCCATTTTTTTCAGTGAGACACCAGAAAACTTATACAATTATTTATCCATGGGACGTTGAGATTCAAAGAGACACTTAGATTATTTACTTCAGCCCTGTAACTTTAAAAATAAGGAAAAGCTCAGATACATTAAGCCTGGCATGGGTCTCCTGACTCTTGATCAGTCCAGAGCTTAGCTGGCATCAGCAGACATATTGTGACTGCATCAACTGTTCAAAATAGCCACTGGGGAGATAATGCAGAAGAACCTGAGGCTTTCAATCCCATGACGTTTACATGAACTGAAATATTGGAGCCAAAAAGCGGAGTGTATCTTCTTTTCATGGGTGCTTGGAAAATGGGGGTAGAACTTTCATTTGGATTCTATGTGACTCCTTCTTTTATTCATCCTGCCAAGTGAGGGCTGGAGATATGTGAGATACCAGCTGAAGAGTAGCCCAAGCATAGCTGAGAATGACTTTACTGAAGGAAGACAGGGATCGTTGGATCTGTTACTGCACTGCAGAATTCATCCTGAAATGTGCACCCACATGCAGTTGAAGTCATTCAACTAGATCATGGAATGAACTGTAGGGAAAGTCTATTCCAACTTTGTCATTTTTATAGGCTTAGAGAAGATCATTGATTTGCCTAGGGTCACACAGCAGGGAGGGGGTGTGTGGCAAGGCAGGAAAGAATCCAGATTGACTTTAGGATGGAACATTTTCACTAAACCATTCTGGGACTCTCCAAAAACTCCAATGGTAAGATGTTTCTCAGGGGTTCCAGATCAAGGAACTATCCATGCATGAATGAAGCTGGCTAAAGATGGGAGTGGCTGTATCTGCCCAAGGCCTATGTCCTAGGACAGCATGTTAGAGTAGAAGCTGAAGCTCTCTGTCATGGTCTTGGAGTTGCTGCGTGAGGAGCCATTGGAGGTCAGGTCCAGGGATGATGGTATGGCCTTGGGGCCTTCCTCTGGCTCCTCCTCATGGGCCCCTACCACAGTGGAGATGGTGGTCTCCAGGCGGCTGACCTTGTACACACTGCCCTGGGTCTGGAGGTACCGGGTGGATTTCATCTCAAGCCCCTCGTAGTCACTGGCGTTGATGAAGGGGCAGCACCGGAAGGCATGCTTGAAACCTAGACGAAATCTGGAGAGAGACAGACAAGAGTGTAGAGATGACTGCTTTCTGAGAGTGTTCCCACTATTGCAAAAGTCTTCAACACAGGACATACTCAATCTTGACTCCATCATTATTTTTTAAATAAATTCACAGCTGGATGTGCTGAGGCCAAACTGATTTCAAGGTCAGTTATCAAGGGCAAGTCTGTACTAAAACCCATGTTTGTGTGAAGTGCATGTCGTTCCTGAGAGCTTCTTGCTCTGATTTGGGGTCAGAAGATTTTGGGTCAATTCATTGTTGCCAAAAACACTCACTAGGTGTTTATTGTGCTCATGGCACTAAGCTAGTCACCAGGCTCATAGTAAAAACACATATCAACATTCACCCTTTCCCTCAAGTAGCCCATTGATTGCAGGTGGACCTTCTGGGAGTCATGTTCCTTCAGTGTGCCTCAGTTTCCTTGTTTGTTAAACAGGGGGCTTCTGCTCTTAAAGATGTGTGGGAAATTTAGCTTAAAAAATTGAGGCAGGTCGTCAAGCTTTTAGAAGTATGAATCTTGTAAGTTAGATTAACAGAGGCCATTGTGGCAAGTTCAAGAGCATGTCTTTCTCACACTGGTAGTATCCGAGTGTCTCAGTCACAGGAAACTCTTCCCAAGCTGCTGGGCTGATGGATAGAAAGAGTGCAACAGGCATTTTGTGACTCACCTTCCTCCCCATCTCCTGCCCCACATGGAGGTTGGCTACTGCTCTGGATGACCACTGTGTTGGAGCCCAGTGTCACAGCCTCTCCTGGGTATCTTTTACCTGCTACTGTGAGTTCCTTATTATTGACAACCATTCCTATTGGGTCCTTTCTCTGTCTTGTCTGAGGTTGGCTTCTGCTTGGGGAAAGCCCAAGCTATTCTGACAAAGTAAGGGTGTGAATCTGGTCATCCAGGCCCTGACCTCTTTTTGCTTATCCAGTCCTTTTGGAAATGCAAGAAGTTACTGCAATGGTATGGTGGAAAAGGAAGAGGATCCAGCTTGCAGGCTTGCCTTACCTTACATGCATCAGTCATGGAGATTTTTAATCCTACTCCTTCCCCCAACATTGCTGCCACACAAAAATATGCATTTCTGGTTCCTCTTGGACAGGAACAGAGAAATCCACCCTGGGCTCACACTTCTGCACAGCTCTAATTGGCAGGGGCTGTGCAGCATGTGGTTAATTTGCTTCAGTCCTCCTGGCTCCCTCTTGTCTCTGCTAGCTGTGCTCATTTAGAATGGCTTTTTGTGGCCCTGGAGAGGGTGTGGGGGTTGGGTCTCACCTGTCATTGAGACAGCAGTAGATAATGGGGTTGTACATGGTGGAGCTCATGGCTAGCCACATGATAGCCAGGTAGACCTGCTGGATAAACTTCTTCAGGTAGAGATCTGGGTTGATGTAGGGCAGGAGAAAAAAGATGTGGAAGGGCAGCCAGCAGATGGCAAAAGTGCACACCACGACAATCATCATTTTGACCACCTGGTGAGAGAATGAGGCAGATGAGTCCACCAGCACATGCTTTTCTCAGGGCTATTTGTCTCTTCCCCCCTCTCTGCCACACAGTGTGGTGTGAGATAGGAGGTATTTATAATTTCTCCTTATAAGGAGGAGGAAGACCTTTACTATTTGGAATTAAAGGACTTTGGTTATGCCAGCCATTTTTCAGAGGGTAGTCCAGGGCTGGCACCATTACCACACTAAGGAACTTGTTAGTGATGCAGGTTCCTGGACCCATTCCAGACTTACAGAATCAGAAACTCTGAGGATGAGACCCGGAATTCTGTGCTGGACAAATCCTTCTGATGGTTCTGATGATGTTGTATGTGACCCTGCTGGACAGACTGGAGAAGCCATGGGAGACTAATTAATGAGCAAAGGTGAATGGGTGCTCAGGATAGAGCACTCTAAGAGGGGGAGTAGAGGGCTGGTTGAGAGGAGGATTTTGAGCTGGGGCTTAGTTGCGTGGTCTGGAGGTTGAAGGAGAGGAAAAGGGAAGGGAGAGATTTGGAGGTGCAGCAAGGGCACATCTTATGTTTAAAGGGGATTTGAAGGAAGATTTTTAGGAACACTGGATACTATGGACTGAATATTTGGGTCATCCCCCAATTCATACATTGAAATCCTAATCCCCAAAGGGGTGGTATTAGAAGGTGGAGCCTTTGGGAAGTGATTAGGTCTTGAGGACAAAGCCTCATGGCCTGACAGCTCCCATGTGAGCACGGTGACAGCAAGAAGTCACCATCCTTGAACCAGGAAGCAGACCTCACTAGACACCCAATCTGCCTAGTGCCTTGATCTTGGACTTCACAGCCTCTAGGGCTGTGAGAAATATATTTCTGATGTTTATAAGTTTCCAGTTAAAGTTATTTTGTTATAGTACAAAGATTCTGGGTTAATGTAATCTCCTTTTCCCCAAGAAATCTCCAGTGAAGATGCACAGAGCTTCATACAATGAAATACCATTCCAGGGAGTAAGTACTAAAAGAGAAGAAAGAATGAGAAGTCTCCTCATATACTGATTTGAGAGTTCCTCAGAACTTTTAAGTGAAACATGTGAGAACAGTGTGCATTGGCTGTTTGTAAAAAAGAAGAGAAAGTAATATAAATATATAAATAAAAATATATGTATTTATTTGGTTTATAAATGCCAATGTCTAGAAGGCTTATCAAGAAACAGTTAAAGGTGTTACCACTGTGTGTGTGCATATACCTTTGTGTATTTGTGTGTATTTGAATGAGTGTATGTACATGTGTATATGAGTGTGTATGTGTGAATTTTAGTATGGGTCTAACAAGTGTGTATGTGAGTGTGTATGTACATTTGTGTGTGAGTGCATATGTATTTGTATGAGTATGTATATGTGCAATGAGTGTGTATATATGTTTATGAATGTGTGTTTGAGTGTATGTATGTGTATATGAATGTGTGTATGTGAATGAGTGTATGTAAATGTGTATGTAAGGAGTGTGAGTATATGTGTATAAGTGTGTATGTGAATGAGTGTATTATGGGTATAGTGAGTATATGTATGTGTCTATGAGTGTGTATATAAGTGTGCATATGTGAATGAGTATATGTTGTGTGTACAAGTGTATATGTGTGTAAAGAGTGTGAATATGTGTGTATAAATATGTATTTGAATGAGTGTACCATGCGGTAAGTGTATGTGTGCATGATTGCGTATGTGTGTTTAAGTGTGTATGTGAATGTGTGTGTGTGTCTATGCATGTGTATGTGCATGTATGAAAAGGGCCGGTCCACTACCCCCCTCTCTCTTCTGTTCCCTAGATCCAGGGAGGGTTTGTGCCTGCTGCCTGTGGGGCTCAGGAGCTTGCAAGCCCTGCTTGCCAGGTTGTTACCGGTGCCGGGGGGAGGGGGGTTAGGTGCTGCCTGCCCCTTGCCCACCTTGCGCTTGGCAGAGACTTGCTCATGGTAACGGTCGGAGGAGTCCCCGGGGATCTCGCTGGCCCACAGAGTGATTCCCACTACGGTGTATGCATAGCCGATCACCAGCAGGGGGAGGAAGTAAATCAGCACCGTCACACAGATGTGGTACCTGGAGGAAGATGGATGAGAGGAGTCAAGACTTGGCAGCCACCCTTCTCAGCCTTTGCCATAATAAGGCAGGATGATAAAGGCACGCTGCAGATGCCACCTGTATGGAGTGAATGGGTGATAAACTAGAGAAAGCAAATCTCTGTTCAGTTTATATTTTTCTTATGGATTTTTTCCATGATGGAGATTTCTGTTCAAATTTGAAAAGAGAAAAAAATTAGATGATAGGAAACCTAATCCATTGTGTACTATGGCAATTTTATTTGATGCTCTCAACATCACTCACCCCTCTTTCCCTAACCAAAATCAGGAAGTATATTCTCTAGAGTGATGGAGAATGTTGTACCACTTAATTCACACCTATCAGACTACACCAATTTTACTTGGGATATAGACCAACTAGTGCATTTAAATGAGAACCATCAGGATCGATGATCCATGATCCATGCCATGTGACAAATGGATTGACAGATATCTGATAATTAATTTGGAAGAAAGAGATAAAACTAATCCTAGCACTAGGACCCATGGGTGATAGTCACAAGGTGTAAGCCTTGGCCTTTGGAATATATATCCATATGGAAGCTGTGTGGGTCTCTGAGTCACCACTTGGAGAACAGGTGTCATCTGACTTGTGGTTGACTGAGCTATGAGCAAGAAATGAGCCTTTGCAATGTTAAACCACTGAGATTTTGAGTTTTGTTACAGCAGCATAACTTATTCTGTTTTTACTTCCTGTGGTATTTAGGTTTGAACTCAGGGCCTTATGCATGCTAGGCAGGTGCTCTACTGCTTGAGCCACTCCTCCACTCCTTTTATTCTATTTAAGGCAAGGATCCCTCTAAGTGGAAGACTCAAATAAGGTTATTGAATGTTGAGAAATGACATTTTTTCCTTAGGGAGCCCTTGCCTTTGTGGCTAGTTATAGCCATTTTCTCAGACATGAGGGTGACAGAGAGGCTCAGCATTGCTAATAGTTACAGTAATAATAATGAATAATGTAACAAGAACAGTTCATATATTGGGAGCCTTATTCTAGGTGATGCTTGTCGTTCCTCAAAGCTTCATGTGCCAGCAGCTTGGTACCCAGTGCTGGTGGAGAGGAGGTGGAAATTTTAAGAGGTGGAGTCTAGTAGAAATCTCCTACATGATGGGGGCACCACCTTTGTGTCTGCCTTAGTGCTGTCTTCTGGGAGTGGTCAGGTCTTGTGATAATGGATTTGTTCCCATGAGAATAGACTGATATCCAGGAGATTAGCACTTTTCACAAACCATTCTGCTGCTCACACTGCTTCCTATTCTTGTAAGTCCTCCTGGCACTGTGCTGCCATCCACCCTGAGGTTCTTGCCAAAGCTGAGACAATTCTCTTTTCTCTATGAAGCACCCAGCTCAAGTATTTTGTTATGGCATCACAATACAGACAGAAGTCACTGTGATAATAATATTAGCAATAGTATTAGTAGAAGAAATGATAGTTAAATTTGGAATATCTATGAAAAGAACAATGCCAAGCGTTTTAGTGGCATTCTCTTATTTAATCCTTAAAGAAAATAATTGAGTAGGTACGATCATAATTCCATTTTGTAGATGAGGAAAACAAACTTTAGAATCTAATTAATTTGCTACAATTCATAAGTGGAAATGGGAGGGGTTGGGATAATGATACAGGTTTGGTGACCCCAGTTCCACTTTCTTGTCACTGGAGAAAAGTCACCCACAGATCTTTCCTTCCACTCTGTTTAGAGTCCATGTTAATTCTCTGCAATGGTTTCCTTTCAAGAGGGAAAACTCAATTATGCACTCAATTTCTTCTTTATGGACACTCCATTTGCTTTCAGTCACTTCTTCACGAAGCCTCACAGCTTTGCCACTTCTTCAGTCCCCTCTGAATATTAAAACTGGCAATTTGAAGTTACTCAAGGACTTCTTAAGTAATGAACCACAGATTCAGTGAAGCAGAGTGCAAGCATGCTTGTTCTGTGCAGACAGGCTACTCCTGGCTCAGCAGGCTCTCAAGGTCACCTGGGTTGTCAGCTCCTCCAGGAGCTGCTGGGTTCTCCAGCCACCCTTAGCAGTGACAGCATGCTGTGTTTCCAGAGTCCCTCCTTCAGGTTGCTTACCAACAGTGCTTGTAAGCAAAGCATTTAGGTAATAGGGGCAGAGAGACCCTGAGACCCTTCAAGAAGCCCCCACATCTCCTCCCTATGAGATCAGCCCTATCTCCTGCAGACTGATACCTAGTCGGTGACCAAAACACACTGGCTGAGCTTCACCACTGCCTGGGAGTGCTGAGCACACTGTTGAGTCAGGGATGCAATGGGAAGACAATGCTCCTTTCCCTGAACCAAAGGTCCTCATGATTGGCCATGCTCTCAGAATCATCTGAAGGCCTTGTGCAACCACAGAGAGTGGGGCCTGAGAATCTGCATTTATAGAAAGTTCCCAGAAGATGTTGCTGCTGCTGTTCTGGTTTAGACTGAGAAACACTGTCCTAGACCAGTGGTTCCTCAACCCCAGTTGGATAAAAGAGCCATCTGGGAATTTTAGAAAGAATTAGTGTCTGAAGGTATTTTGAATTGGCCTGGCATGGGAGCAGAAAACCATATTTTAGAAAACTCCTTTTAGTTATTTTAATAGATGTAAGCAGGGAGAACCACTGTTTCAGACCATAGATCTGTTGGGACCTCATTGTTGTTTGTGATCTTTAGTAAAATGTATATTAACCACATTTTCTTTTCTGGTGTTCATATCTGATGGCAAGTGTGACCTTGCTGATCAGGGAGGGATTGCCCCTCCCAGGTCTAGCTAATTCCAAGAGCTTATGCCAGAAGGACTCTGTTTCCAGCATGTCTTCCGAGTGCAAACTAATAATCCAAAGCCCATACTCCATACCTGCCTGTTTATTGGGTTCTTACATGATTCTCTTGCCCTGACCACCCTAAAGGTCAGGCATCAGCCTCCTATGTCCTGGTGTCCACTGAAATTATTCATGCTAGCCGATCCTAAACCTGCTTGCCCCACCTCACTAGTTCTTTTCTGAGAAAACTCCAGTTAAGGCTTTCTCTGTGGTATGGAGACATTGACCCTTAATTTTGGGAGCTGTGAGCAATAAAATATCTTTTCAATGGTAATCCTGTCTTGATCTATTGGCCTCACCCTACCTAAATACAAAATAAAATTTATATTTCAGAACAACATACCTTTGCAAAATCATACATCAGAACATTAGGAAAACGCTAAGATGAATCAGTAAACATAAATTATCAGCATTTTTTGATCTTTCATTTTTCAAAGAAGGAAAGTAATTTTCTTACTTATTTAGAAACAAAAAAATGACTTAATTTCATCAAAAAGTATTATAGTAGGTACAGCATTAACTTTTCCATGCTCTAACAGGGATAGTTAAGAATAGCACAAGAATATGATATATTGATTCTCCTTCTAGGTATCTACCCAAAAGAACAGAAAGGCTGGACTTAAACAAACACTTGTACACCAACACTGTTCAGAACAGCTAAACTGTAGAAAACAACCCAAATGTTCATCTAGAGATGAATGAATAAACAACATGTGGTATATCCATAAATGGATTATTATTCATCCTTAAAACAGGGTAGAGTTCTGACATATGGATAAGTCTTTCAAACATTAGGTTAAGTAAATAAACTAGATATAGAAGGACAAACACTGTAGGATTCCACTTACATGAAATATATGTCATAGAGACAGACAGTAAATTAGAGGTTATTGGGTTCTGGGGAGAGAGGATAGGAGTTATTATTTAATGGGTACAGAGTTCCTGTTTGAGATGATGACAAATTTCTGGAAATAGATACTGATGTTGTACAACATTGTGAATCACTGAATTGTACATTTTAAAATGGTTAAAATGTAAATTTTATATTATGTATTTTATCATAATGAAATAATTACATAAAAAGACTTCATCTTAACCAGGGTCTCCATATTTGCAGTCTTTCTTCCCATCCCAAAAGGTAGATTTAATTCTTGGATAAGATCAAAGTTTAAACATATCCTCCTACATCTTGCTTAGATAAATCCCTACTACATAGAAATCGGAAATGCTCAATACAAGCTCTGTCCAACTTATCAAAAACTCTAAATGAGTGTAAGTCAAATGAATGAAATTCATTCATTAGAAAATATGAAAACAAATACATTTCTTTCATCCTGACACTTTTTTTGGAGAAATTTTACTGTATTTTATAGTTAATTAGAATTACCCATGGTTGTGTTTATATTTTCCATAATTATTATTTTAGAAAGTTGGTCACTGAAGTAGTATTTTGTGTGACTCCACATCTATTTTGGCTTCTGATCCCTTTCCTAGGTTTCTGCCAGGCAGAGTTTTATGAGCTCTCAGAAGTAATATCTGCCTTGGGAGAAGAGATCTAGGGTCAGCAATGCACTAGAAGTGAACTAGAGAAAGAACCAGCATGAAAGCAGAAGGTGGTGACAGAAAGAACTGCTTTGTCTGCTGGGTGAGATGTGTGTTTGGTTGTGTAAAGCTGGGGGGCTCAGCACATTGACTGTGATCATTAAATCTTGCCTGATGTGCTTACTGGAATTTTCTGAAGGAAGGTGCATGCAACAGCGTTGTAGCCTTATTCCATCAAGTTCACTCATTTATGCAGTGAATCAGGCTAAGCTTGATGAACACAGACCATGTAGCCCCAAATCCCACATTGTCCTTAATGCCCTAATACCTTAATATTCACTAATCCAGGTTTACTTTCATCTCACAAGCAGGAGTCACCTCCTGGTTGAAAACATCAACAGTTTTGGTTTCTGAGATAATCCTCAGCACTTGAAATCAAGATTGACATATTTATTTATTTATTTTTCCTTTTTCTTTTATTATTCATATGTGCATACATATTTATTAAATAGTATCTAGGTGTCTTCATAATACATTTGCTGGAGAATTTAGGTACCTTGGCGTCAGGAAAGAAGGAGGCCAAGTGGGCATGAGATAGCTC